TTGCAACTCATAAAATCTCTAAACTTTGCACTTGGTTGCTTGCCTCACTATATAGGTTTTTATGATCCATCACTCCTGCCATACTCCCCAAAAGATAACATGCATGTCACAGGAGAGACTCCCTCCTTTGCCCCAGGTGCGAAATAGATAACAACACCCTCCTCCATCTGTTATGGAAGTGCCCTAAACTGACAAGGTATTGGACGTCCATTGTTGAAACAATCAATATAATTTGAAACCTCACCCTCCCTTTGGACCCTAAAATCTGGTAATTGGGCGAGCTGGATGAGGAATTATATACTCCACATACATATACTTACATAGTTAATCTGGCTGGAAAAAGACAAAGATTCATCCAGTTTAACAAAAAAAAAAAAGTTATAATCCTATACCCCCAATTGATCCAGAGGAAGACAAAAAAAAAACCCAACCAAAGCACGATCCAATTTGCTCCTGCAGGAAAAAAAATTCCTTCCTGATCCCCCGAGAGGCAATTAGATATTCCCTGGTTTAACGTTACCCATAAATTTAAGCATCCAGTTATATTGTGTGTGTCTAGGAAATAATCCAGGCCTTTTTTAAAGCAATCCACAGAGCTGGCCAGAACCAACTCTTGAGGGAGTCTATTCCACATATATTGCAGTGCTCCATGTGATATATATTGCCCGGAAGCTGATAGCTCAGAAATGGTCTCCCACTCCCCATTCTCATATGGCATAGATTAAAGTTAATGACATATTGATTAGAGAAATTATTCTATCAACACAGGGGATGCCCAAGAAAATGTAATAATATTTGGGAAGCATGGCTGGGCAACCTGGTCTAGCACCATTCCAACTAGTTAGTGACAGAATACTAAGTGGAGGGATCTTTTCTGGTTTGGTATAATGTTTCCTGTCCTTACATTATAGTATATTGCCAATTGAACAGATGTGCCTAGACATAGTCAAAAGTAATCACTCTAAATATCCCAAACTCACATTTTTCACATACTCCGACATCAGAAGTGAATCAGGGCAGCTGGTATATCGAGTTTTTGAACTCTAAGACTTGCACTTTATTTAATGCAACTGGAAATATCAGGACAGCGTGTTCACCAAAGTACGACACCAACCACGTAGCTTCGTCAGGGGAAAAAAAGGCTTTTTTTTTTCCCTGACGAAGCCATGTGGTTGGTGGCGTAACGTGTGGGGCGGAGCCTAGTGACGTCATTGCCGGCTTTTTACAGAGCGGGAGTTTTAAATTCTAAATTGATCTGTTATTGCTTCTTTCATGTGAGTGACACTCTGGAACAATTAGACTATGGGAGAAGTCCTCTGTTCTTTCTATATGTGGAGTTAAGCTGAGAAGAGTCCTCTATATACTGTCATTAAAGGGGTGCCTGTCAACAGCTCTCTGCTGCCATCTAGAGCATCTTTTTGGAATTACCATGCTTGGTTAACCTGTATTAATTTATAGGTCCAAGGTATGAGGTGAGCGACCATCTATATATTTTTAGGTGGAGGAACACTAAGTCAAGGTGGAGCACAGTGTTTTTTGAAAAGGCTTCATTTGTCCGGAGCACATCGTATTGATTTTTCACCATTCAAGCCCTTTATTGATTTTCTAATTTATATTTCATATTTTGATTGAATGATCACATTAGAACTTTTTATGGACTATTATTTATAGATGAGTTAGCACAACACTATTTATATATGTTTAATATCTCTAAATATCTTAAGGGACAGTCAGCTACCCTGCATATCATTGTCCAGAATGAAATTAGCTTCAAAATGAACATAGATATGACAGGTCTTGGATATCTAGTTCTCATGGGAAATGTATGGAGGCCTAATCCACTGTGGCACCTCCTAGCATAGGGATGTTTGGGTTCAAAATGCTACCCAATAACGGATAACAGTGAATAGGATTTTATTCTGGCTATACTGTAAGAATTTCAGAAGCTATTAAATATTGTGGGATGATGATGGCTTCTATTGAAAGACAGATGTGTATTCTACAGACTTTCAAATAAGGTACTTATGACCCAATGTCTGTTAACTCTCTAGTCACTGAAGAGGGTAAGTCAGACACTTTTATGGGCCCTGAGATGTGTATTGGGCGTTAGAATATGCTAGTCCTATTAACAGACGAATAAGGGGTGTCTGGAATCAGTTAAAGTGGTGGTAAACTAATTTATTTAAATTTTAACTACAGGTAAGCGTATAATAAAGTTTATCTGTGGGTAAAACCAACATCTCCCCTAAATGTGCACAGTTCAGGAGATATTCTCTCTTTTTTTAAGCCGGTGGATGCACTCTGAAGGAACAGCAATTCCACAAAGGAAGCCCCCCAAAATTGATACAAACGCTAAACATCACAAACTGACATTATGAGCTTCATAAAGTTGGAAGTAATGGGAGGAAGGTCATTCACATATAACTTGTATCAACACATGACACATAACCTGGTTCAAGCAGCACAAAACTTGAACCTAGAGCCCTGTGAAAATGTAATACAACTACACAAGTGAAAAAATATTGCCTGGAAGAAGATCAACAATGGTATGAGCAGCAATCTCTGGTAGTCCATTATTTTGCATAGTCATATAATAGCTAAAGAACATGAAAATGGAACAGGAGCAGCCTATATTTCAAACACAGTTAATTCAAAGAATGCCCATAAAACAGGATTTCACTCCTCACACAGGCTAATAAAAAGTTCAGTAGTTTTATGAACACCAACCAAGGAGGAAATCAAAAGCATTTCAAGGTCTCCCCAATCACTCAATATAAACATATTGACGTTTTATAACTGGTTAGTTTTTTAAGCCTTCACCCCCTCAACAAACTCAGAGCTGTCAATTAGGATGAATGGAAAAAATCCAAAACACACATTTCAGGTTCTGTATGAAAGCAGCCATTGAGGAAATGGTCATAATGGTGAAAGAGTAGCACTATTCATTGTTAGGTCCATGGGATTAGTTTAAAGCATAACTGAAATTTTTTTTTGCTCCCATGCAGTGGGGCTGTGCCCACAGTGCATGGGTTAACTGCTCATTTTGTCTAGAGATGCACCAAAAGGCTATACTTACCCGATCCTTTGACCCTCTGGAAAACCGTACTCCCACACGTCCAGCGGTGGACTGTTCCTACTATCGTCATGTCCAGAGCTGGTCTATGGGTGCGATGAGATCAGAACAGTCCATTCACAAGACCGCTAGAGTGTGGGGAATCAGGAGCAGTGAGGACCACTCTTGCGCTCAGAGGATCACCAGATTATGTAAGTAAATCTCCGCTCTGAAATATCCTAGACAAAAACGAGCAGTTAACCTATGCAGTGCGGGCACTTTTTTTTAAAGTCGATTTTAGACCAATTATTTTATTTTTTTTGTATTAACATTTTATAATCCTGCTGTCCTATACACCAAGAAACAGGAAAAACTGTATAATACTTAGAGTATAACTAAACCCAACCAATTGTTAAATGTGGTGGATGCATTCATTTCTATTTAGCAACTGATCGATGACCTTGACCAAGAGAGCATCAGGAATCACTGATACATACATGTTATACCACTTTAATTACAACCTTATGTGTTATGATGTGAGGGGTGTATAGGAAAGGTTTAGGTTTTAAAGTGGTATTAAACTCAAAAGGAAACATTATATTGCAGCTTAGCAATTCGTAGGTGGTGGCTGCATTTGTCTTCTTTTTTAGCTTTCTTTCTTTTAAAGCCATTGTTGTGCAAGTAAGTCTATTGTTTTTCAACAGAACAAGCTATCCTGCAGATATAGCCATTGAGAGAAACTGATTAACACTAACAGGGGTGCTTACAACGATCAACTTTTGTTTATGTAAAACCTTTACCCCCAAAAAAACAAAACTGTTGCTGTAACTGCTTAAAAAGAGTTAGCTGGGATTTGGCTTTAATTTGTTTAACGTATCTAAATCTGTTAGAACATCTAACACTCCCTTTCTCCCAAAAGGACAATGCTGCTGTCCAAAAAGGTGTCTCCATTGCGCTTTCATTCAGTGTGAAGGAGCTCTAATACAGGAGGTGTGTTATTGGCCAGATCATCAGGTAAAAACAGAGAGGGAGGGGAAGTCTAAAAAAGAAAAACTATTACAGCCACTACATCTAATGATGATTGGTAAGCTGCAATATATTGCATTTTTGGTTTGGGTTTTAAAATACTTATGTTTTTAGCTATTAATACAAATATTTGAAATAGCAGCACTTTTATATTTCGTGTTGGAATGGTCAGTTTCAACACACTTCCTGTCTGGTAACCAATAAAGAACAACTTAAAAGGAGAATTATGGTCAAAGCTCTTTTGGCCTAACTTCATCTGAATCTGTGTCACAGAAGTGCAGAACTAAGTAGACTCCTGTGACCCACAGGAGTCCAATTAGTTCTGCACTCCTGTGACCCAGGTTCACCTGGCAGCGGGATAAAGCCCGCTTTCCACTAACATCACAGAGCTGGTCTAGGTTCTTCAGGGATCTCAACAATGTCAGGATCCACCCACACGCCTTACTGACAGCTGGTTCAGCCACTCATCGCTCCACTGAGAGCCTGGTTCAGCCACTCATCGCTCCACTGAGAGCCTCCAGCTCCAGCCCCTTCCACAATCTGGCACTCCAGTCACCTCTCTGTGCTCAGAGCGGACCTGAGTACTGAGCGATCAGCTGCCTTTGATCGATCAGTTCTCAGTGTAGATGCAGCAAGAGACAGCTGCAGATCAGATCAAGACTGCAGCCATCTAGGTATGTATGTAGTATGTAGGTTATTTTAGGATTCCATATTTCTCAACACATATGAACTCAAAGATAACTTATCAGGAAGTACATCAAAGTTTTCTTATTTTGTCATTTTTAAGAAACTTTTTGAACTCTTGTGGTTAAACATATGAATATGAACATATATTGCAAAGACCACACCCATTTACTTATTTACAAAAAAAAAAACAAAACAAAAAAGTTTGCAGACAATTTATTGCACAGTTAGATTTTACCTGCATTTCTCAGGATGTTCTTCTCGCTTATTATTAAATTCTAGGGATATCTTTGCATCTAAGCCAATACCAAAGTAATTGTTCATCACACATTTTTCTGAATAGCCTTCTCTGTAGAAAAAATGAGAAACCAATGACTAGATGTAAGCAGACATGTGAAGATTACACACAATACAGATCAAAATAACAAATAGCACTCCATAGCAATGGCATGTTCTTTGTCCTTAAAAATACTTTTTTTTCTAAAACAACTAAAAATAACACAAAACAGAGGCAAACACAGAGGGATAATTCTTAGGGACTGGGAATGTAAAAGTACACCTTTCGTAAGCTAGAAACTGAGTCTGCCATTATTACCAATTTTTTGAAAATGCTAACTTTCTGATTTTAGTGATTAGAGAACTCTGAACACTTACCAAACAACTGAAAAAAAAAAAAAAAAATCAAACCCCAAGCACAGCATAAAAGCTTCACTGAAATCTGTGGGAGGCAATTTTTTTCAGGCATTTTTCAAAGCCAATTTGCAAAATTAGTGGAAAGCACTGCCATAAGGGACACATACCAATGCAATAAAAAAAAGTAAAAGAATACAGTTTAGAGGATGGCAGGTTTTTAAATAAGGTTTTAAAGTGTTACTGAACCCAGGATCCTGCATTCACTATATCTGATCTCCCAAAGTACACAGAACATGGAAATGCAATTAGTTTAGTAAATATAAACTGCCAAATACATTTTCTCAGTGACTTGTGACTTCTATCAGTGTCCATCTGAGTACTGGTTAAAACTTGAAGGAGTTTTCATTCTCCTATGACTGCCGTATGAGGCTGCATAACCCCTGACCCTCTGTCTGGACAGCGCTGATTGGCCCTGTGCTGATCACATGCACCCTCCCAAAGGTAAAAAAAACTCTCTAGTAATACACACTAACCTGAGCATGTGCAGAGGGACTCCAAAGACTGTCTTATAAGGAGATAAGTCAGGGACAATGGAAGAAGGGGAGGATCAGAGAAGCCAGAATCAAACAGCCTTTTTACACAATGCAGAGGATTAACCCCATAAGTTCTTTAGTGAGTATAACCAGAATGTGTGACTGCATATACAGACTGAATTACTGTTGTGGGTTTACACTTTAAGGGTAGCTTTATAAATACACTAATCCTTTAAATAACATGCTTGAGGGATGCCTTACATTTACTAACTCATGCTGGGATGGGGTTGTTAACTGAGAAGCCCCCTTATTCTAAGGGGGCCTTGCAGATTTTGATCCCCCTGATCTCCACAGACCCCCACATCCATTGGGCCAGGTATGTGGGGATGAGGCCCTTGTCCACTTCAGCATGCTTACAGAAGGAATGGACACTGATAAGCTCTCCAACAAGCAAAGCTTGGTAGGGGTTTTTTTTTTTTATATATATACAAAGCAGTACAGAAAGTATGATCATAAACACAGGGGTTGGACCTGTGTACCTCAATGAACTTCAACAATAGGATTTTATGATGGGTACAAAAATGCCTATTTTCTCAGTCTTAAACTTTTGGGACTGTCAAAGGAGTTCAAGTGAGGGGTGGGCAACACAGCAAACAATCATTAAAATACTAGAAAACAGAAAACTGAGGAATGCCTGCAGTTCAAAGAGATTCCTGCAGGAACTTACACCCGAAGCTAGCATCAGGTGAGGCCGAAACATTCACCTGGTAGAACTTGGAGAATGTGTGAACAGACCATGTGGCAGTCTTACCAATCTGGGAAACAGTCGATGCCGACAATCTACTAAAGTGAGCCTTTACAGGAAAGGGTAAATATTCTGATCCTTCAGATCATAGGCTTGAAAGGCAGTCTTAAAGTGCATCTAAAGCCTAAACATTTTTAGCTTAAATGCATTCCTTCCATTAAGGTATAAAATGTTTAGGCATCAGCATCCCCCCTCACCCCCTCCCCCCCCCCTTTTATTCAATTCAGTGCTGTGCTCGTCTGCAGCTCTTCTTTCCCCTCACTTCCGTGTCTCACTGGCTTTGCTGGAACACCAGTTACCATTGGCTACCAGCATTGTCAATGAAGCCAGTGACGAAGGAGTGGGGGGCAGGGCCGAGTCCCTCTGTGTCAAGTTCTTCTACAATATCTCACAGAAGTGAGTACACCCCTCACATTTTTGCAAATATTTTATTATACCTTTTCATGTGACAACACTGCAGAAATGACACTTTGCTACAATGTAGTGAGTGTACAGCTTGTATAACAGTGTAAATTTGATGCTCCCTCAAAATAACTCAACACGCAGCCATTAATGTCTAAACCGCTGGCAACAAAAGTGAGTACACCTTTAAGTGAAAATGGTCAAATTGGGCCCAAAGTGTCAATATTTTGTGTGGCCACCATTATTTTGCAGTACTTCCTTAACCCTCTTGGGCATTGAGTTCACCAGAGCTTCACAGGTTGCCACTGGAGTCCTCTTCCACTCCTCCATAACATCACGGAGCTGGTGGTTGTTAGAGACCTTGCGCTCCTCCACCTTCCATTTGAGGATGCCCCAGAGATGCTCAATAGGGTTTAGGTCTGGAGACATACTTGGCCAGTTCATCACCTTTACCCTCAGCTATTTTAGCAAGGCAGTGGTCATCTTGGAGGTGTGTTTATTTATTTCAGATACTTCTATAGCTCTGTCAATTTTCGCAGCGCTTTACATATATAATTGTACATTCACATCCGTCCCTAACCCTCAAGGGGCGTACAATCTAAGGTCCCTAACTCACATTCATACGTACACATACTAGGGCCAATTTAGACAGGAACCAATTCACCTACCAGCATATCTTTGGAGTGTGGGAGGAAACCGGGAGTACCCGGAGGAAACCCACGCAGGCACAGGGAGAACATGCAAACTCCAGACAGGTGGTGCCATGGTTGGGATTCGAACCAACGACCATAGTACTGCCAGGCTGAAGTGCTAACCATTTAGCCACTGTGCTGTTTGGGGTTATGTTTGAATACTGCCCTGCAGACCAGTCTCCGAAGGGAGGGTATCATGCTCTGCTTCATTATATCACAGTACATGTTGGCATTCATGGTTATCTCAATGAACTGTAGCTCCCCAGTGCCGGCAGTAATCATGCAGCCCCAGACCATGACACTCCCACCACCATGCTTGACTGAAGGCAAGACACACTTGTCTTTGGACTCATCACCTGGTTGCCGCCACAGACGCTTGACACCATCTGAACTAAATACGTTTATTTTAGTCTCTTCAGACCACAGGACATGGTTCCAGTAATCCATGTCCTTAGTCTGCTTGTCTTCAGCAAACTGTTTGTGGGTTCTCTTGTGCATCATCTTTAGAAGAGGCTTTCTTCTGGGACGACAGCCATGCAGACCAATTTGATGCAGTGTACGGCGTATGGTCTGAGCACTGACAGGCTGAACCCCACCCTTTCAACCTCTGGGAAATAGATGTACGAGTGCTGCCAGCTTTCCTGCAAAGACAACCTCTGGATATGAGGCTGAGCACGTGCACTCAACTTCTTTCGTCGACCATGGTGAGGCCTGCTATGAGTGGAACCTGTCCTGTTAAACCGCTGTATGGTCTTGGCCACCATGATGCAGCTTGGTTTCAGGGTCTTGGCAATCTTCTTATAGCCTAGGCCATCTTTATGTAGAGCAACAATTCTTTTTTTCAGATCTTCAGAGAGTTCTTTGCCATGAGGTGCCATGTTGAACTTCCAATGACCAGTATGACCAGAGAGTGAGAGCGATATCACCAAATTTAACACACCTGCTCCCCATTCACACCTGAGACCTTGTAACACTAGCGAGTCACATGACATCGGGGAAGGAAAATGGCTAATTGGGCCCAATCTGGACATTTTAACTTAGGGGTGTACTCACTTTTGTTGCCAGCGGTTTATACATTAACGGCTGTGTGTTGAGTTATTTTGAGGGGACAGCAAATTTACACTGTTATACAAGCTGTACACTCATTACTTTACATTGTAGCAAAGTGTCATTTGTTCAGTGTTGTCACATGAAAAGATACAATAAAATATTAATAAAAATGTGAGGGGTGTACTCACTTCTGTGATATACTGTACGTCTGATGATAGACCTTGTAGAAGTAATTTCCTAGCTTTAAAAGTGATAAACTATATTTATTTTAAATTTTTTTAAATAAACAGGTTTATACTTACCTGCTCTGTGCAAATGGATTTGTATAGAGCATCCTGAACCTCCTCTTCTTAGGTCCTCTGCCAGCACTTCTGGCTCCCCCCTTTTCTTGGTTTGCGACCACAGGAATCTGCTTCCTACGCAAGCCCGCCCCCTACCCCCAGCTCCCTTTGTCAAAGGATTAGACTGGCAGAAGCAGAAGCTAATGGCTGACAAATTCAGTGACAGAAAGTTACTAAAAGCCCAAAATGAGGATGCCACAAGAATGCAAAAGGGCTAACACTGGAGCCAGTACCTTTGATGTCCACATAAGCCAGGAAGTCTCCCTAGGGCAGTGCTTCTCAATTATTTTCTGTCATGCCCCCCCTAGGAAGAAGAAGAAGAAAACATTTCGCGCCCCCCCGCGCGACTGTAAATAGTATAATTTGTCTATAAAAATTGTTATAAGTAGGAGGAATAGTGCCCCATCATTGGTGTCAGTGGGAGGAATAGTGCCCCATCATTGGTGCCCCATCATTGGTGTGGGAGGAATAGTGCCCCATCATTGGTGTCAGTGACACCAATGATGCGGCACTATTCCTCCCACTGACACCAATGACACTTGCTGACCCCTGTTGCAGTATGGTGCTGCTGCAGCCAGCATATGTGGTTGCAGCAGCACCTCTGCACTGCACACTTACCGGCTTTTTTCCTCACTCGATTTTCGCGGGTCCGCTCGGCTCCGCCTCCTCGCCCGTGATTGGCGCCTGTGTACCTTCCTGAGCTACAGTTCTGGCGGCCAATCACCGGTGAGGAGGCGGAGCCGAGCAGCAGGAGTGAGGGAGTGGCCGGAGTGACGGAAGGAGCAGCGCTTCCTGGATGGATCATCGTGGGAGCCAGGTAAGAGACAGCAGCCCTCTGGCCACCCCTGTACGCGCCCCCCTTGACGGAGCCAGGGGGGGGGCGCGCCCCACTATTTGAGAAGCACTGCCCTAGGGGAAGGATGTGATAACAGATCTGGTGGATTCAATCTTGATTTATTGATTCAAATGTAAATATTCAAAGCCCTGGAAATCGAGAAGACAAATCTCCCCTTTCCAGTTTTGATACAATGAATTAACTGGAGTAAAACTTTGGAACCAATATGCCACAGAGACTGGGACAATGACCTCTTGATGCAGAAGACCCAAGAGGGCTTGATGAAGATCTGCTTGCCAATATGAAGACACATGAAGGATGGAAGTGAAGAAACAAGGAGTGGGTAGGGAGAAAAATTAGAGTTTGTGACCCTGGGACACCACATCCTGGACTCAAGCCACCTTAATGCAGAAAAAAAGCTTGTCTGAGGATTTAGCAGACTTAGAAGTTCAGATGTGTTGGGTGGATTAGGGGCCCAGTTTGGAGGGTGTCTTACCATTCAGCTCGAGATAGTGGGCAAAAGAAAGGACATTTGTTGACAGTAATAAAGGAAGACATTTTGATGGTCTGTTCCAAAGACTTCTTTAAAATAGGTGCTCCTGCCATTGGTAGCATTCTTGATCATGTTATCAAGAGCCCATCCGAAAATCTGCTATCTTTTGAAGGCCATGAGGATCAAATGCTACTTGCACAAAGATTCAGCAGCTGTTTAGCCAAAGTGACCTTCAAATATGCACTGACATGAGGCACATACAAGAGATGAGGTGGCTCAGGAGTTAGCACTTTTTACCTTGCAGCACTAGGGTTCTTGGTTCAAACCCCAATCAGAACACTACATGCATAGAGTTTGCATGTTCTCCTTGTGCTTGTGTGGGTTTTCTAAGGGTACTCTGTGTTTTTTCCCCACACTCCAAACACATGCTAGTAGGTTAACTGGCTTCTGTCTAAATTGGCATTAGTATGTGTACATGTGCATGCAATAAAGGACTGAAAACTCAAAAGCTGCAAGGTAAATAAGATAAAGAATCTGCTGGAGAACAGGAGCTGCCGGACACAGGAGTGCAATTATGCCCTCTGCGATAAGAGCCAGCTGGGTAAGGTCTTAAAGTGGTTCTAAAGACTGGGTGGGTGTTTTTTTTTACCTAAATGCATTCCCTGCATTAAGGTTGAAAACACCCAGCCTCCTCCCTCTCTAAACACTTACCTGAGTCTGTCAGGGATCCAGTTCCTTGCCAGGCTGCAGTTTATCTCCCATCTTCTGCTTCTCAAGGGACTTGGACAGCTGTTATTAAACTGCTATGCTATGGGTGAACAAAGAGAAGTGGAGAAGCCAGGAAAGCCCATGGGTGACTCCAGAAGAGGTGGTTTGAGGCTGCTCTGTGCAGAACCATTGCACAGAGCAGGTAAGTATAACATGCTTATTATTAAAAAAAAAAAAAAAAAAAAACAGACTTTACAATCACTTTAAGTCTTGCATGAACTCAGCTAAAAGGATAGGGACTCACTCAGCAATACTTGCCGGTGCAAAAAAAAAAAAAAAAAAAAAAAAGACAACAAAGACTGGGAAGACCAACAACAGGGGGCAGCATGACTCCAGGTTACAGATGCAGTATGATCATAAGGCATACTGTAGTCCAGGCCTTGAAATTTCCACTCACCTGCTCACCAATGGCGAGTGGAAATTATGGTGGTGGTGAGTGTGTCCCCCAGGGCTGTCTTGCTGAGCAGGCTCAGAGCTCAGGCCGGATCTCTCATTGGCACTGGGAGCCATCAGACTGCTCAATAACTGAGCACAGTGAAAGCAAAAGGAAGGAGTGTGTGCTGTGCTTCCTGCCTCCCCCTAGAGTGCAGTACCCAGCTCTGTGAGTGAACAACGAAGAACTGCAACTTTTTATAGGGGTGTGTGTGTGTGTGTCTGCATGTACATGTGCCTGTGTGTATGTACATGTGTGTATCTGTACATGTGCCTGTGTGTATGTACATGTGTGTATCTGTACATGTGTTTGCGTGTATGTACATGTATGTATGTGTGTGTGTGTGTGTACGTGTCTGTGTGTGCGCGCATGTACGTGTGTGTGTACATGTGTCTGTATGTATGTACATGTCTGTGTGTATGTACATGTGTTTGTGCGTGTGTATTTCTGTGTATGTACATGTATCTGTGTGTATGCGTGTCTGTACGTGCCTGTGTGTGTATACATGTGTCTGTATGTGTGTGTGCGCGCATGTGTCTCTGTGCATGTGTGTACATGCTTCTGTGTGTATGTACATGTCTGTGTGTGTGTACAGGTGTCACTGCTTGTGTGTGTTTGTTGGTGGCGAGTAACTCTTAAGGCCTAGCTAGTAGCTTAGGACTTGAAATTTTAACACTGCTGTAGTTTGTAAGCATCATAAAGTGAGCTGAGGAAACCTGGTACAGGAAGACTGTCCCCCCATGTCTAGAATCAGCCATGTTGCAGTGGCAATTGCACAAGACAACGCATAGGCTCCAGGTAAGAGGCAAGACCCCAAGTAATCATGAAACCCAAACAACTGGTAGTACAAAGAAGGTAGAATGGCTGAAGGGGACCAAAGTCACTAGAGATGGACAGCAGAAACAGATGAGTTTTGTGTGAATCTTTGCGATAAAGAAAATGCTTCTTTGATGTTGTATTGTACGCGACAATCCACGCAGCAAATGACAGCAGCACTTAGTCCCACAGCTTCAACCCTCTTCTGCTGAAAAAACTGGGAGGAACAGAAACTGCATAAAAAATGAGGTAGCACCCGATGCTCGACCTGTGTGACAAACGGGGGTGTCAGACTACTGTCCTTTTCACAACCTATGACAAGACTGGTCAACCTCACACCGCGCTGTCACTTTACAGGCAGCTAACATGCATTTTATTGTCCAGCGTGAAATTAGCTTAGAAATGGCTATACTAGGATAGGTCTCGGATGCCCAGTTTGCCTAGGAGAGAAATTGGGCTGGTTCTGTTCCTGGTACTCCTAGGTTAATGATGTTTGGGCTCGAAATGCTACAAATTAACTTAGGGTGGTAAATGTGTATATCCCAGCTATGCTGTTATTCTTTCATGAGTTATGAAATATTGACGTTTTAGAGTTTTGGCTGATAACCAGTCTATCATGCATGTGGATTGCTACAGTATTCATGATAGGGGGGAGAGCTGCAAGTGTGTTAGTTCTCTGGATTGCTCAAGCTTGGGAGGGTGACAGTTTTATTAAGGTTTCCATACTGAAATGTGGATTGGTTAATGGAAAGAGTCTGTGTATCTGATGCCAGGACCTTCTTATCAATTGACCAGTTAACAGTTGTGTATTCCATAAACTGAAAGAGGAAGGAAAGGGGCAAGTCACTGTGGCTATGCCTCTTCTTCTGCCAAAACAGCTGGGATGAACTGAGACATGAACAAAATAAATGTCAAATACAGTTTTCACGTGCCCAATGCGCACAACTATTACAGCCTATGGAACCTATGGATAATCAACTACTTAAGCGGAGAGGTTAACGATTCTATATGGATACTTTAACACACTGAAATTTTTGGATCAATTTCATCACATGCGCAGAGGCCCATCTCATGACTTCCCGTCCCACTCTTTCCCTTTGTTTCCCCTTACTGTACTTTCTCTACTGTGTCCTTTATGTACTTTTTGGTCTTGCTGTCAATAGCCTTGGGCGTGTGATGTCCAAACATTTTTTTAATGACCTTGGAAGAGTGCCCCACTAATCAAAGGGAGTGCATCTACTCCTGTCGACTTGTGCAAAAAGATACTATGCCTATACATTAAAACTGTTTTTTTTTTTCTTTAAAAGGTTGCTATTTGTGTTAAAACCGTGTCTCATAAGTATGAGCCCTTCAGGGGTTGTCTGCTTTTTTATATACTTCTGTGAGACTGAAAAATGATGTACACCTGTAATTGTACATAAACATTTATTGAAACAGAAAAAATATATATCTTACAAGGTATCAGAATCCGGGTCAATAAAAGGAGAAGCACCAATGGCATCCATATTTGCCAATAACATTTTGTTGATGATGGAGCTACCAGCAATGGAAGCTGCCAAGCCAGCTCTCAGACCTATGGGAGCAAGCACAAGCAGAGCTTAGGGAAAGCTAAAAAGTTATAATTTATACAAGTAGTATACTTATAGGAACTTCCCAACATAGTCCAACAGTCAAGAGTCCGAGTGTATTCCCAATTGTGCAACAATCAATCAATGGTGAAATGTGCCAGCTAAATATTCACTATATTAACCAAGCTATGAAAAAAGCCAGCACAAAAGTAATAGCCCAATACCAGTACTGGAGAGACACCCACATTAATGTTTGCCTTGTACGTAGAATTCATTTTACAGTTTTATTGTGCCTAATTAGACCAACCCAAATTCTGCATTACCTGGACAGATTATTCGTGTGTTTAAAACAGGAAGGTTCTCTTTGCTAGATGCCAAGGGTGGGCTCGAGAATGAACCTGTATGAGAATGTACGCTTCTATTAGTACGTCTGTCTGGAGAACGTGGAGGAGCTTTGCCTGAAAGGAATGAACAAACCTTACAAAACAAAGGCAAGAACAAACATACACATTTACATATCAACTAACCGCTCACTAAATCAGAAAGAAATGGGCACCTGAAAATTATAAACAATTACACATCATAAACAATTACACATCAATGAAGTTATTTATACCTCTTCACTATAAAAACACACTTCAAACAAGGACATCAAGCCCAATGGAATGTTTAACCACTTCAATACAAGGCACTTTTACCCCCTTCCTGCCCAGACCAATTTTCAGCTTTCAGTGCTCTCGTACTTTGAATGACAATTACTCAGTCATGCTACACTGTACCACAACAAAACTTTTATCATTTTTTTTCACAGAGATAGAGCTTTATTTTGGTGGTACTTAATCACCACTGGGTTTTTTAATTTTTGCAAAATAAGCGAACAAAGGGTGAGAATTTAAAAAAAGAAAACACTTTGTTTCCATTACAACATTTTTCAAATAAGTAAATTTTCTTCATAAATTTAGGCCAAAATGTTTACTACATTTCTTTGGTAAAAATAACCCAAATCAGGGTATATTATTTAGTCTGTGTGAAAGTTATAGAGTCTACAAGCTATGGTACCAATCACTGAAAATGCTTCACACCTGATGTACTGATGGTCTATCTCATTTCTTGAGGCCCTAACATGCCAGGAAAGTACAAATACTCCTCAAATGACCCCTTTTTGGAAAGTAGACAGTCCAAGATATTTAGTAAGAGGCATGGTGAATTTTTTGAAGTTATTTTTTCCATCAATTCTTGGGAATATTAACCTCCCTAACGGTATTCCCGAGTGTATCTCGGGGTAAAATGTCTGTACCAAAAGCGGTAACCCCGAGCTACACTCGGGCTTTGCATGCGGCGCTGCATAGGGAGTCCCTGCAGAGCTTACCTTGTCCTTCGCTCCCGCGATGTGTACCCTGCAGCGTCCCCGGCCATCTCCTCCGGCTGATGCCGGCATCCGGCTCCTGTGACGTCGGGATGTACGGGTGCCGCCGGCGGTGGGAAATGTGAAAATTTTAAAAAAATGTCATTTTTTTCAAAACGAGTTTACATAGTAAAACATTGCTGTTTCAACCCATTTCACATACATTTTGTCCCTAGTGCTCTGTCCTGTCCCCTGTCTGCATTTTGAATGTTCTTTCTGCCTGGAAACTTAGAAAAGTCCATGGTGTCCAAAAAGTGTCCCTTTAGGTCAAAAGCGGTTTTAGACCAGCTAGAGAACAGCGATAGTAAATCAGAACCACTTGCAGAATTGAGTGATGATTCGTGGAGAAATTCGTCAGACACTGAAAATGATTTTGCGACTTTGCTCAGCAATGTGCGAACTTGGCGCTCTATTTCAAATTTCAGCGTTTTCTGTTTGATTATATTATTGAATTAAATGTAATATTATTATATTATTATTTTTTATGATTATTTATTAAATTATAATTTATGATTTTGTGTTTCAAATTTTATCATACCCGGGATGTTTACTAGACTCTTGTTCGGACAGATTTCAGTGAGTTATTCCTAAATATTACAGCCTACAATAAAAAACTACATATTTCCATGCAAAAAAATGGTACTGCTTTCAGCACCAAAAATCATAAATAATCATACCGCTAGGGAGGTTAAGAAATTATTATTTTTTTTTATTTTAAACACAAAATTCTCATATTAACAAGTTATTACTCACACATGGCATATGCATACTTGCAATTACACCACAAAACACATTCTGCTACTCCTCCTGAGTATGGCGATACCACATGTGAGACTTTTTCATAGCCTCGCCACATACAGAGGAACAAGATCCAAATAGCACCATAGGGCATTCTAGAGGCATAAATTACACTTTTAATTTCCTGACTACCTATTACATTTTTTAAGCCCTGGAGCACCAGGACAATGGAATTACCCACAAAATGACCCGATTTTGGAAAGCAAACACCCTAACGTATATTCTATGAGGCATAAGGAGTATTTTGAAAATGTCAGTTTTTGAAAAATGTGGAAAGAATGTGAAAACATTTTTTTTTTAACACAAAGTTGTCAATTTATAAGATATCTTTAAAAACACAGCATGTACATAGCAAGAATTACACCCCAAAATACATTCTGCTACTCCTATTGAGTATGGTGATACCACATGCATGAGACTTTTTCACAGCCTAGCTAAACAAAGGGTAAATAGAAGATTACCTGTGGTTGTAGTAGAGAAGTTGTCCGCAGAGGAGAGCAGTGGGCCAGGAAGCAGGTAGAGATATGGTCAGCAATAGCCAAATGAATAGCCCAGGCAGCAGGCAGGAGCATAGTCCAAAAAAAGTAATGGGTCATTACAGGCAGCGATATGGTCAGCAAAGCCAAAGTACTAGTTCAGGTAGCAGGCAAGAACATGGTCCATAAAAACCCCTGGGTCATTACATTATAAGCAGCGATATGGTCAGCACAGTATTGGTCCAGGCAGCAGGAAGGAACATCAGGCTTAGGGCCTCGGTCAGGTAAGACCTGGCCACAGGGGTAGAGGCTTCATCCTACCCAATCTCTTCGAAGCCTCCGGACTAAAAGACCCAGATCCGGGAATTACAAAACCCAGTGAAAACCAAAAACTGTTTTTCTCTACTCTGAAGCCCATCACATATGTGAGAACCCTGTGTTATCTTACAACCCACTATTACAGTAGCAGGGCAAAATATCAGTTCAAGCGGCAGGCAAAAAACATGGTAGAATAACAGGCCAGGGCCAGTTCAGGTGGAAGGCAGAAAAGCGGTTTAGAAACAATCCAGACGGCAGGCAGAGGCATCGTCGGTAAACAGGCCAAGGTCAATTAACGTGGAAGGCAAAGGCATGGTCAATTAAGGCAGCAGGCAAATGATCAGCACGGATTTTAGAAACTGGGAAATGGCAGGTTGTTAAAATAAGGAGAACTAATATTTTAGTGACGTCAGAGCGTAGGAAGCAGTCTCCGATGCATAGGCCTGGTTGGGAGGGACATTGTGGATAATTAACACTGGTGTCTTTCTTAGCTCCTCTTCTGCCGCATACCCAACATTTTTTTTGCCGTCTTCTTCCTGATGCCTGTGGGTGGAATGTTTTCTGCAAACTGATGCTTGTGATATCTGCTCACACAATCAGAGCGAATGTTTTCTGGGGGGGATCCTTACTGGTAGATCAGGGCAATGATGTCTTCCATATATTTGAGGAAGGTGGTGGGTCTTTCTGTTGACTTTTGATAGATGACAAATGCATTGTAAATGGCCAAATGGAAAAAATAAATTGCAACTTTTTTGTACCAGAAGATGGACGTTCTTGTTGACAAATAGGGCTGTAGCATCTAGCTGATTAAATCCACCCCCCCCATGAACCGATTATAATTGTGGATACATTCAAGTTTTTGGATGAGACCGTGTCTTCCGTGAATTTCCACCGAGGTGTCATTCTGGATAGGACATAAACATCTCTCTTATCCCTCCACTCCATGGCCAACATTTCCTCGTTTCTCAGACTTGTGGATTCCCCCCTTTGTAGCCTTCTGGTTACTAAACTTTGCAGGTAGCCCTTTCTATTTTTTCGGGTGGTACCGCAGGCTAAGGTTTTCTCACGGTAGATATGATGGAAAACGGGGAGACTGGTATAATAGTTATCAAGGTAGATATGACCTTTTTGGAACAGTGGGAATGCCAGGTCCCAAACAATTTTGACACTTGTGCCAATGTAGGTTGGGCACTCAGGGGGCTGGAGCTGGGAGTCTTTGTCTTCGTACACGCAGAATGCATGCACATATCCTGTAGCTCTTTCACAGAGCTTGTTCAGCTTCAATCCATACCTGGCCCTTTTATTGGGGATGTATTGCTTGAATCCCAGCTGGCCAGTGAAGTGGACAAGGGATTCATCCACACAAATTTGTTGCTCATGCACAAAGTTTCGCAAATCTCTTAACAAAAGAATTTATTAGGGGGAGAATTTTGCATAGCTTGTCATAGTTGGGATGATCTCTGGGAGGGCACTGTGAGTTGTCACTGAAATGCAGGAATTGCATGATCAGATCATAGCGTGGCCGGGACATTACAGCAGGATAAATGGGCATATGATGGATGGGGTTGGTGGACCAGTAGGGATGCAGTTTTTTTTTTTGTAAGCCCCAAGATAAACGCAAGGCCCAAAAACAACTCCCCTGTGAGACTTCTCTATAGAAAAGGATGGGCATAGAATGTACTGGGATTATTATCAATATACTGTTGAGCAAAAAATTTGTCTGGTCCACAATGTATTGCAGTAAATCAGCAGGGAAAAACAAATGAAAAAAATCAATTTCAGAAAAAGTTTCAGTATTGGTCTGCACACCTGGCTGTGTGGTGAAAGGTGGGATTGAAGCTGATCAAAAGATGGAAGGCAGCCATAGTGGGTTTGCCAGGGAGTCAGGAAGATATGTTTGGGCCCTAATTCTTGGGGTGTGGTGGGATATTCCAGTGCTGGTACTGGGCCTTTCATCCTGGGGTCTAGCACCATTGGTGTCTGCTGATTGACCATTGGGGTGTATGGCGCTGCTTGTGGTTTCCTGCTCTTCAGAGCGTTCTATCCTTTTAGGAGGGACTACTGCCTCCTCCAATTCAGTCACTGACCCACTACTTTCTACTGGCTCATATTCCGAATTGAATCGGATGGTGAGAGCTCCCAGCTGCTCTCATCCGACATGCTGAGGATTTAGAGGCTCCTCACTAGTAAAATATTTTTTGGACATTGCGGCTCTGGTGATTGTGGCTGTATGAGGGGGTCAACTGCTGATGGGTGGCTATGATGGGTACACTGCTGATGGGTGGCAGTTGTGTTGACTGTGACAAGTACACTGAGGGCTGTGGTGACAGGTACACTGATGGGCTGCACTGACAGGTACACTGATAAGTATACTGATGGGCTGCACTGAGATCCACTGATGGGCTGCACTGACAGATCCACTGATGGGGATGAACTGACAGATTCACTGATGGCG